AGTCTTACCCCCTCCACTCACTCACAGAGGTTCATTCTGGCGTTTGGATGAGCACTGGCCAGCTGCCAGCCTGGCTCAGAGATCCCTCCCTGTCTCAAGTGTTGTGGTCCCCAGCACAACCCCAGGAGGCAGGCACTGTCCCCATTCTATTGCACCTAAGAGCGACCTGAGACCACAGAGATGACATGGCACGCTGAAACCCAGCACTGGTGAGGGGGCTTGGGATGTCACCCAGCTCAGGAGTGCCCGCTGCTGGCCAGGCACCTAGAATGGTCATGGATTTTTCTAAAAGGGAGATTTAATTAGTGCCATAACTGAAGGCTCCTTGCCCTCGACCCTGGCTCACACCCAGGGTTTTGTGTTCTTGTTCAGTTCCGTGTCACCAATGCAAGAGAACCCGCCAGGGTGGCTCTAGTCCCACCATGCTGCACAGGGTCTCTAGTCTCACAGGCTTCTGCTCTTACCAGTTTTCTTTGCTCTCCCTGGAATATATGTCCCACCATTGACTATTCCCATTGTCTGACTCTAAGCACCATTTTCTCTGTAAATCCATTTTTGGTCACATTCCACCTTTTTTCACAGCCCACCCTTTAGAATGGACTCTTCTCTTTTGGGCTGGACACAAAACCAAGTGAGGCACTCACACTTGGTGTTACCTGTGCATTTCTCTCTGCTGTGCTCTCCAGGGCAGAACTGTGCCCTTTAGTTATGTATTTCCAGCTGGATACTTGTAGACACTCAGTAGGTGATTACTGGGGGAATGAATGAATTCACCCACCAGAGCTGCTCAGTGACCGTTGAGGATGCTACTGCTCAGATACAAGAAAAATGGAAGAAAATCTGAATCCTGCTTTATTACAACCTTTGCAAATGTTTAGTCTATTAGCATGATAGTTTACAAGAACAGACTAAATTATAATTGTAATGTTACCAGAGGAGGTATCGACTTCAGTTATTGTTACTTACCTCTGTTATATGCAACTAGGAAGATATAGTCTCTGCTCTCCTCTGACCCAAGTACTGTGAACTGCTTTGAGACTTCATGTTTAAAAGACAGAGAGTTTAAGTTGAGCAAAATTAAGAAAAGTAAGTGTAATACTAGGATTGTGTGTGATTCAGTTTGTAAGGTCCTCATGTAGTGTTTGGGGGTTAGATGCTATTTTCCCTTTTCCATGGAATTAAAATTTTGTTGCTTTTAGTGAGTTTTTCAACTTATATTATAATTTGGGCTGTTTCAGAAGTCAAGATCTTCCACTTAAGTGAGATTCATCAACAAGCTTTATATTCTGAAGGTTGACTAGGACTGACTCAGGCTTGGGCCAAAGTTTAGGGTGGGGAAGTGGGGGAGGGAAGAGCATATTTGCATGTCCTACTGATGGCATTAGATGGAAAGGACAGTGGTATTGCTTCGTGCTCTGAATGCATGGTCCATGTCACCAGTGAAGGGCAGACAGACATCCTGAGTCCAAGATGTGATACCTGAGAGGGCCTCCAGTGAGGGATGTGTCACTGTCATCTAATCATGCAGAAACAGCAGACACAGCCCAATATGGTTTGGCTGTGTCCCCACCCAAATCTCATCTTGAGTTTAGCTTCCATAATCCCCACATGTCTTGGGAGGGGCCTGGTGGGAGGTAAGTGAATCATGGGGATGGGTTTTTCCTATGCTATGCTTGTGATAGTGAGTAGGTCTCATGAGATCTGATGGTTGTCTAAAGGACAGTTCTCTTACACACACTCTCTTGCCTGCCGCCATGTAAGATGTGCCTTTGCTCCTCCTTTACCTTTGCCTGCCACCATGTAAGATGTGCCTTTGCTCCTCCTTTACCTTTGCCTGCCGCCATGTAAGATGTGCCTTTGCTCCTCCTTTACCTTCCACCATGATTGTGAGGCCTCCCCAGACATGTGGAAATGTGAGTTCATGAAATCTCTTTTTCGTCATAAATTACCCAGTCGCTGGTATTTCTCCATAGCCGTATGAAAATGGACTAACACTTAGCCAACTCTAGATCTTTCTATTAAACAATGCAAGACAGGCCTATATTCTTCAAAGATGCCAAGATCATAAGAGACAAAGTCTGAGGAGCTCTTCTAGGTGAAAGGAGATTTAGGAGGCCTGGCATCTAAATGTGATTTGAATCCTGAACAGATCTTTTCTTGAGTGAAACATGCTATAAAGCACATTTTGGAGCAAATACAAAATTGAAATATGGATGGTAGAATAGATGAAAACACTACATCAGTTGAATATCCTGAATTTGGTAATTGTCTGTGATCATGTAAGGGATGATGTTTCCATTGTCAGGAACCACCCCTGAAGTGTTAAATAGATCACCCGTCTTCAGTATTAAGTACTAAGAGGCAAAGGTGCATGATGTAAGGCACCTTCTCCCAAACAGTTTGGAAAAAATATGTATTTAATATAGATACTGGCCTGCAGAATCTGTCTCTGTCAATGCCTTGCCATTTCTTGTCTGAAGAATGTCAGATTTTCAACTCCTTTCCCTACTTTCTTTCCATCCTCCTGCTCAAATTCGTTAAATCAGCAGAGATTTACTGAGCAACTGTTATGTTTGCTTAATTGAACACATGCACATATTGAGAGCTGATTCTGTTTAGCACTGTGGTTAGCTATGTCCAGGTGTCACAGGAACACTCCAAAGAGACCGGGGCTTGAGCTGGGGTTTGGAGGATAAGCCATCATAAGAAGGTGAGGAAGGGAATTTCCAGGTGGAAGGGAGCTGTGGGGGCACAGGTGTGGTTAAGGAAAGGATGCTTGAACTAGGAAGGCAGGTGGGTCTTGGAGCATGAAAGCCACTGTGCAAGGCTCAGGAGTTTGGATGTCCTCTCAAGGCTGTGGCTACCTCCTTTGGGGTTTGAATGGTGGGACGTCATCAGGTGTGCTGGCATTATTCACCTGTTCAGTTAACAGATATTTACTGGGCATCTGTGATGTGCCAGGCATGGTTCTAGGCTCTGGGAATTCATTAATGGAGAAAAAACCCCAACATCCTTGCCCTTGGGTGGCTTCTAACCTTCTGCTGGTGAAAGAAAAACACAATAAACATCATCAATCAATTGTCTATGGATTACATATGCTGCTGTGGGTAGAGTGTGAAGGGCAAGGGAAGTGACCGGGCACCCCTCTTGGGAGTGACAGGGCAGAGGGACTGTTGAGCCAAGACTTCACAGGAGGCTGCCCCTGATTTCACGGAAATGAGGTATTTGCAAAAACTCACGTTTCCTGTGTGTGCTTGGATAGGTATGAGGTGAGAAATAAATAGGTGTAATGACAAGGTGCCCCCTGTTCGCCCAGTCATCCTGCAGCATCCAAAGTTGCTTTTGTTCCAGGTGACTTTCCAGATCAGGGTGGGGTCCCGCGTTTGTGTCTCATTGCAGTGCCCAGGGTGGTGGGAGTGGGTCACACTGGGCTGTTCTTGTTTGTCGTGTGTTCTGTGTCACAACTGCTTCTGTGCCCTCATTACCAGGGTGGGTCATGTATGCTTGTCATTGTTCTTTGAGTACTATTCCAGAGATAAGAGGACACACACGCACACACACACGCACACACACACACGCACACACACACACACGCACACACACACACATGCCCACACGCACAGGGTGTCTGTCTTAGAGGCCAAAGATATGGAAAATGTGTCTTAACAACCAGAGTTCAGGGAAGCTAAAAAGAATCAACTAGACTTTCAGAATCCCAATCCCTAGCCAAAGTACAGGCACCATATACCATTTTCCGTTTCCATGACCTGCTAAGATCTCGTTTCTTCTACTTAAGAACTTAATTTCAACTCATAGGAAAACCCCTTAAAATAGGTAGAAACATTTTGTGTGGTCGCATGTACAAAGTTGGAGGGCTATTTTCATATCTTAATTTCCACAAAGATAAAAAACCTGGTAGTTTGCATCACATGCAATATAGTAATGGCACGAAGAAGGTGTTTTTAGTTTATTTCTTAAGTGACATAGAGCTCGGGAGAAACACCTGTTTATATACTTCAGCCTCCATTCACTTCCAAGTACTTGAGAAAAGATAAAAAAAAAAAAACCTAAAAGAGACAGTTAGTATTATAAAGATAGTTCACGGGATGGAATTGGAATGGTGCTAAGGGAATCGCAGGCCGTCCTGACTTAGTTCAACTTAGGATTTTTGACTGTGTGATGGTGCATTCAGTAGAAAGCCGTAGGCTACGCTCTTGAAACACCGGGCAGTGACGGCCACAGCTCCCTGTCAGCCCCGTGCCCTCTGCAGTGGACGGCGATGCCAGATGAGCTTTGCCGCCTCCAGGCCAATGTAAATGTTCCCAGCGGGTTTAAGGTGGGGCTGCACCGCGGTGTGCAGTCGGCTATGTGTATTAAACGCATCTTCCGCTGCAGACACTTTCACCTTGGACGCGTTCATCAGGGTGTGACCACATCCTCATCTGAGGAGCAGGTATCTGCATACCATCTCACTTTGTGTTCTAGTTGTGCTTTGTTGTTATTGTTCGCAGATTAAAAAACACGAGAGTTCTCCTTTACTGCAACCCCAAAGGAAACTGCCACGTGGCTCATTTTCATCACCTCCTCTCATCCTGCTCAGAGGCTCCAGTAGAAACGACTTTGTGGTGCTCATTGAGCAGCAGTTTCCATTCGGCTTTAAAGAGTGTCTCCAAAAAACCAGAGGCGCCTCTTTGGTGTGCTTGTTCCCTAAAGCAAGCCCTTCTTTGGTCAGGTTTTAGGAAGGCCCCTACAGTTAGGAAGTGGATTAATCTCGGCCTGCCAAGGTCCTGGGAAGCAGGGAGAGAATTATGTTTGCTGCTTTTCAGCGGGGAATGCAAGTGACAGAGTAGACGAGGCTGTGTTTGAAGTGAGGCTTCTTGCTCGTTTCCTCCTGCTCTTTCTCGGAGGAGGCTGTGTCTTCCCGACCACAGAGAGAGCCTGCTGGACTCCTTGTATCCCACTCTTCCTAATGGACTTTCTCTTCTTCATTTGTCCTGTAGGTGGATTCCAAAGGAGAAGTACCTCCTAAATATGATGGCATACCCCCTAAAACACAGGATTCCGTTTATCATGCCAAGGAAGAAAAGAAGAGAACATTGATAGAACCTTCAGTCGAAAGGGGCGCAGGTGACTTGCAATTTGTTCTACTGTAGGCAATTCGAAATGTTACCAGCCGAAGAATGTGGGATTTTCTTTTCAGAAAAATTTCATACTCCAGAAATATAGTTTGACTTGTAACTATCTGCTTTATTAATAAAATGTTCAGCTTGTAGGTAGGTCAGTTGTGGGCAGAGCAGAAAAACAAAATTTCACTGCTGAAGGCAATGGGATTCTCTAAGCAGGGGCCTCCAAGATAAATACAGGGTTTCAAATCAGTTTCCATCAGGACTGAGGATCTTCCCCCGGAGGACTGACGACATAGAAAGCCACACACAAATCTATCTTTTGGGAGAAATATGAAGATAGAAGCCACCTAGATTGTTTAGCTGTACTTTTTGAGTATAGGAGATACTTAAAAGATGGATCTTAGAGCTGGTTTTTCAAATGAGGCAATTTTGAAAGTGCTCTTCGGTCTATTTGTTAGCACTCTGCTGCCATTACTAACTCTTACTGAGCTCTTGCTGGGTGCCCAGCTCTGAGTAGGCACTTTCAGGCCCTGTCTCATTTATGCGTGTGTAGGATACTTAGTAAGAGACTGTGAGTCGTGTGGCTGGTTATGGAGGAGGAAGAGGGTGGGGGGAGAGGCTTTCCTGCGCGTCTCTGCAGCTGCTGAACATCTTTGGAAGTAGTTTTTCCTAAACACCCTTCCTCCCAGCTTGGCTTCTTCTTTTCATTTATTTTGAGACGGTATCTTGTTCTGTTGCCCAGACTGGGGTGCAGTGGCATGATCTCAGCTCACTGTGACCTCCAGCTCCCAGGTTCAAGTGATTTTTGTGCCTCAACCTCCCAAGTATCTGGGACTACAGGCACCTGCCACCACACCCAGCTATTTTTTTGTATTTTAATAGAGACAGGGTTTTGCCATGTTGCCCAGGCTGGTCTTGAACTCCTGATCTCAAGTGATCTGCCTGCCTCAGCTTCCCAAAACGCTGGGATGATAGGTGTGAGCCATCGCACTCAGCCCGCTTTGGCTTCTGTTACCTTCTAACACCTCTCAGGTTTTCTCCATTTTGCACCCTGATGATCTCTTAGCTCCGTCTCTGTCTCCTCTGTCTACCTCTCAGCTATAGATCTGGATATCCCCTAAAGCTTCCCTGGTTCCCTTCCCCTCCTGGCCCTTTCCACTCCACGACGAATGCCCGAGCTATGGGGAGGCGAGGCAGCTGCATGAGTACATAGGTGGGAGAGTGGCCTACGTGCTCATACATGTACAGTTAGGGTTATGGGGTGATGAGGTACGAAGCAGGTGTGTCAACATGTAGGCAGGAGATTGGACAGGCGGCTCTTAGACCAAAGCCTGCTGAACCCACTCCACTTAGCATATTACTGTATATCAAAAGTAATAGAAAATTTGATTACTGTGTATAAAATCTCTTCCTTGGCAATGTACATCCCACCCAAGCAGTGGGGGCTGCCTGGCACACAGGCCTTCCATCTGGGAGGCAGCCTGGTGCTAGGATGTGGCTGTAGATCCCAGCTGTGGCCCTCACAGAGCATGTAACTGTGGGCCAATTCCTTATTGACCATAGGCATAATAAGTTTGGGGATGTCCATGAGCTTTAAATATTGAATGCCTGGGACACAGTGGGTTCCCAATGAATGTCACTTCCCTGCCCCCCTCTCACCTTCCATTGTGTCACCTGCAAGAGTAGGGGCTCCTCTGGCTCAGTTCAGGACTCTAGGGTCAGTTCTCCTGGGGCTGAGGGCTGGGAAGGGGGAGAAGGGCGAGAATGGAGCAGGTGAGGGGTGAGGTAGGCCCAGGACTCATGGCTGAGAAATGAATAGGTCTGCATTAGAGTTTCTCCTTCTCCTCCTCTTCCCCACCTCCTCCTCTCCTCCTCCTCCTCCTCCTCCTCCTCCTCTTCCCCTCCTCCTTCTCTCTCTCTCTGTCTCTCTCTGTCTCTCTCTCTCTCTCTCTCTCTCTGTCTCTCTCTCTCTCTCTCTTTCTCTCTCTCTCTCTCTCTCTCTCTCTCTGTCTCTCTTGCTTTCAGACAGAATTTCACTCTTGTCCCCCAGGCTGCAGTACAGTGGTGCGATCTTGGCTCGTTGCAACCTCTACTTCATTACTTCATGGGTTCAAGCAGTTCTTCTGCCTCAGCCTCCTGAGTAGCTGGGATTACAGGCTCCTGCCACCATGTCTGGCTAGTTTTTGTATTTTTAATAGAGATGGGGTTTCACCATGTTGGCCAGGCTGGTCTTGAACTCCTGACCTCAGGTGATCCACCCACCTCCACCTCCCAAAGTGTTGGGATTTCAGGCGTGAGCCACTGCACCCATCCAAAGTTGCATTTTCTTAAAATTTATCCTATTACTTTGCTGTCCAGTGGGGTTACTTTGCATGTATTTATTTCTAACTGAATTAACTGGACACAGGCTTGTTGGACAGAGATCTTCCCTGTATTTCATCTCGTGGACTGACTACGGTGGCAGGTGGCCACAGTAATCCCATGACTTTCAGGGTCTAGGGCCTTCACGGAGACAGAGACAAAAGCAGATGGGGCTAAAATTGAGGCCATCATGCTGAGTACCTCAGCAGATGCAAACAGGAAGGGCGAGAGGGAAACGGGGTGAGGTAGACAGGGTCTGGGACCCCTGGCCAGGTGGCCTGCCTGACAACGCAGGAAGCTCCAGGATGTCGGCTTTGTAACTTGGGTTTGGGTCGGAAATGTGCATGGACTTCAGTTTCTCCATGGGTTTGGAAAGTTTGTGTGATTTTTCCCCAGAAGGTGATGTGTATAAAGCACCAACTCCTAGCCAGGAAACCCAGGGAGCACTGGAGGTCAAAGAAGATGGCAACGTGCAGCTGGAGGTGCCTGTGGACCAGGTGGGTGTCGCGGGCCGAGGTCCTTGGGGTCTTCACTCCCTTCCGTCAGCTCTTGCCTGCCTCAGCAGCATCCTTAACCCTCTCCCTGCAAATTCTCTCTGGACTCTAGAATGTTCTGCACTCCTCCTAGTTACAGACTGCTCATCTCAGATCTGGTGTCAAGCATTCTCCTGTGTGCCCACCTCCCCGACAGGTTCTGCTGGAGAGACTCCTTTTAACACTTCACTGTGTGTGACTGCAAATTTGGCTTCACCATTATTTGATGCTGTGTCTCTCCCTCACTAAGCTACTAACTCCGTAAGGAAAGGGGCTGGCTGCCTCGCTCACCACTGGGTCCTGTACCTGGCATGGAGGGGGCTTAGTAGTTTTTGTGGAGTGATGATTGAATAATGGAAGAAACAGTGTGATCCGATGGCATGGGTATGAAGCCTCGAGCCTCTGTTTCCTTATCCACAGATGGGGATGCTGTCTCGGTGCAGGTCTGTGTGTGGCCTGCGTGTGTGGCCAGCGCTGGTGCGTGGTGGACGCTGGGGCACCGTTCCCTCCTCCTGGCCGCAGGGAGGAGGGGGGAGCAGGGTTCTGAGAAGGGGTGCGGTCAGGCCGGGGTTCCAGCCCAGCTGTGCACCTGGGTGAGTCTCCCGTACTCGGGCAGATGGCAGATTGTGCTCGATGATCTCCCAAGACGCTCGGCTTTGTCTTCACCACCCACCTGAAGGCAAAACAAGCACATTTCCAATTCTTAGTTTTTGAGCGAAGAATGTGTATTTTCTAAAAGGTAAATACTAGCATTAGAGCTCCCTTTTTATTCCTCTGAAATAGATGGGGCTCCACCCCTGCTCCTGAAAGCATAAAGCAGCGACTCCGGGTATACAGCGACCTTTCCCACTCCTCTCTCCGGGGGGATTGCTCTCACCTTTGGCACTTTGCTTTTTAACTTCTGCTGTATTTCTTATTCTTGGGGACACATTTGAAAAGTGTCATGGACCTCATCTCGATATTCTAGCTTTCCGCTTCAGCTTCTGGCATTTTGGGTACCTTTCCTGTGAGTCCTGTCGTATTTTCTAAATTCCTTGTGAGATTATTTTCTCTTTTCCTCGACATGACAAAAGTGACTAAAATATTTGATTTTCTTTGAAAAGCCAAACTAACAGTGAAAATATTAAGTATTGCCCGCTAAGAGTTTTCTAGGGATGAGGAAAGTAGGACATTTACGCTGCTGTATGCCAAATGTACCCTTGTCACTAGGACATTGCTGTGGCTCTCTGGGTTGTAGACTGAGTGTGTCCAACACAAGTTTTCAGCACAGGCAGAGTCCTAGGGTGGCAAGTACTGCTGTCATAAGTGCTCGCGGGTAATAAACATGCTCCTAAGTTCTGCTTGCCGGCGAGTTTGATTTCCATTGTGTTTGAGGCCGTGGAGTGAATTCGGTTACCCCACAATCATGTGACATGAGAGGGCCCGCAGGTCCCTGGGACACTCCACCCACCAGCCGTGGAGAAGGAGGGGCTTCTAGAAAGAGTCTTCTGTGTAGCAATTCTCCATACCAGGCAGGGCGAAGTCTCAGTGAATGGAACTTTCTCACTGTCAAGTTCTGTGGCTTTGAGTGACACAGAAATAGGCTTTCAGTCACGATGGTGTCTGTGGACATGAAGACCTCCTGAGAGTGAGCTGGGTCACCCGTCCTCCCTCCGCATCTTCCGTGCGTGGCATGTGTCAGAACGGGAGCAGAAAGAGCTACTGTCAGCTGGGATGCTGGGGATAGCTGAGCGCTGGGGGGACCTTTCCTGCACAGCACACCTTGGTGGGGGATGATGACTCATCTTACCTCCCACTCATCAGGTCCTGACATGCAGCAGATGTTCCAGAAAGGTTTATGAAATCTGACAGAAATTGATAAGAGAAAATCCCATGTGCTCGATCAACGGAGGCAAAGCATGAAGCTCAGGCTGTGCAGACACAGCGGTGTTGCCCAAACTGCATTCTGCATCTTTGAAGAAGGTCCCTGTGGAAACGCACACATGGGAAGCGCCCCTCTCATCTCTCTCCTTGGGGGAATCATGGTGCACGTTACTGTAGTAATTGTTTCAGAGAAATCCTAGAGTCAAAAATTGTATATGAGCTTTTGGTGAATCCTAATTATTTCCCCATGAACCTTTTCTTGCTGGGACTCTCGTGACACACAGTTTAGGCCCCATCTGTGTGCTGTTGTCCAAGGACCTTCTTCCCTCCTGTGGAGCAGGAACATGGGATATGGTTCCTGCAGAGCCTCTATTCCTGGGGCAGTCATGGCCTGGGTGGGTGGCCGCGTCCAAGCTGTCCCTGCCTGGACAACTGTGCATGAGGGTGGCTGCCTGGCTTCCTGGCCCCACTCTGGCCCTACGCTGCACACTGGGCAGGCTCTTGGCTCTGAGTCAGGGTGATTGGCATCCCCATGGACACAGGGAAGGTGCATGTATCTGTGCCGTCAGAACTTTCCAGGCCATTAATGAAGGACAGTTTGTCCCTGATAATATGCCTTTATGGTGCTGACTTCTTTCGTAACCTGGAATACTGTCTCTTGTTTTTGAGTAATTGGTTTTAACTTTGTGGGTCGGCCTGAGCGCCTGACACTCTGTGTGTCCTGTGTTTGCAGTGTTATGCTTTCTCCTGTGTAGTGGTACTATAAAGATAAAATATTACCAAATGTAGCCGGGCGTGGTGGCTCAAGCCTGTAATCCCAGCACTTTGGGAGGCCGAGGCGGGTGGATCACGAGATCAAGAGATCGAGATCATCCTGGTCAACATGGTGAAATCCCGTCTCTACTAAAAATATAAAAAAATTAGCTGGACATGGTGGCGCGTGCCTGTAATCCCAGCTACTCAGGAGGGTGAGGCAGGAGAATTACCTGAACCCTGGAGGCGGAGGTTGCGGTGAGCTGAGATCGCGCCATTGCACTCCATCCTGGTAACAAGAGCGAAACTCCATGTCAAAAAAAACAAACAAAAAAATTACCAAATGTAACATCCCGACTAGTACATGTGTGAATTTGCAGTCAAGGCTTCTAGATTGAAGAAGAGAACCTCAAGAATGCAGAGTCCTCTAAATTCCAGGCCGTAGCTTCGTGGTCATTGACACTAAGTGCACAGCATCCGAGCGTCCCTGGAGAGAACCTCAATGTGGGAGGACGATTCAGTTTTCCTGTAGCAACTTCGGTATCGGTTACTAAACTCTCATTGTCAGGTTTGGATACATGAAGGATGTGGCCCGTCTTTGGCCCCTGCAGAGGGAGGGGCCTCATATCAACTTTATGATTTGTGATGATAAGTAAGACTTTGACTCCGCTGCCCCCTTTCCGGTCACCTGTCCTTTATTCCAGTGTCTAGGAACTTCTCCCGGCACTTGTAACTCATTTCTGGAGCATCTCATAGCTGTGCAGGGAGCATCGAGTGGAGCCTGGCCTCACTGAGTGTGGGCAGGGAGGGTCAGAGGCTCAGCTGGGAAGCCAAGTCGCTGGGCTGTTGGGTGTTAGTCTTCCTGACAGTGCAAGATGACTGTTCGTTGTGCATTTTGACCTGTACTTGCATTTCTAGAATGTTCTCATTTTTCTTGTCCGGCCTTCAATTGTTTGTTTTATTTATTTACTCCCAGAGAAACACATACTTTTAATCAAACCAGTCACTTTCTGTCCTCCAGCTTCGGTTACTCGAGTATCTATCAACCGAGACAGGGATTTCTGCAGAGCCTGTGGCTTACCTGCAGGTATTGGGAGGTTCACCCCGGCGTCCCGGGGCTCCTGGCTGTTTGGAAAACTCATCTTGTAGCACAGACTTGACACGGAGACCCTCACAGAATTCTGTGAATGCCCATCTGTGGCTCATGACAGAATCAAGATTGGGGTTCTGCGTTAGGGAGGTGGTACCTTGTGTCAATCCAGTGATCTCAGTTACCTGGGTCATAAAGTGGGGAAGCTTCAGAGTCACGGAAACTCATTTGTCCTGAACTAAGTGGTTGTGAATAGGAGCTGGAATGGGAGCAAGAGGGAGGGGGTTTTTGGGTGGAAGCTCTGGGGCGTGGCCAGCTGTCAGAGAGAGGTGATTCACTGGTGGTGTGGCTTGGATAATCACCCATCTTTAATGACACTTTTTTTCCCCTCCTAGGATGCATTCCCTCCTTTCTTGAGTTTTTATTGTTAAGAAATTATAATTTATTTTCAAACTTTTGTTTCTCTTTGGTTATACAGCAGGTAGTGTATCCCCTTGGCATCTACCCCTCCCCCACCATTTCCGTCAGCGGAGGGGTTTGGAGGTGGAGGGAGGGGCATGACCTCTGTGCCTGCTGCCTGATAAGCTTTCAATCTCAGAGCACGGTGAAGTTTTACACTGACTTCTCAAGTCATGCTACCCCAATGTTAAGGAACATGTTTTTGCTGTTACAATCCATGCCAAAAATGGCACCCAGGTGTTAAAACATGAATGTTGAAATTCTGATTTAAGTACTACATTTTTACAAAAGCAGTCTTCTGCCAGTGATAAGATTGTATTTATTTTTGTAACTACTTTAAGAAGGTGGGGAAATGTGTATAATCGGAAGCCCTGCTGAGCCCAGGACACTCACCTGCGATTCCTTTCTTGGGGAAATCGTCTAGAATTTACTGTGAACATGGCCAATTCCACGTTAGCAGAGCAGTCGGCTTCATCATTCCCCAGGTGGCAAGTAGGCTGTGTGAACCCCAGGTCTCCAGCTGAGGTGTGAGAAGCAGGGTTTGACTGGAATCACAAAAGATTGGGTCCATTTCTACTCTTCTAAATTTGGTTATTTTAGAGAGTCTCAAAGAGTCAGTTCAAAAGGAGAGTATCTTTCCTTGGATTCTCAAATAGCAACTAGGGCAGTGCCCCCTGCACCGTGCCTCCCGGGGCGTGATGCATTTCCCTCTGGAAAACGAGAGAAGAATAAGTCACCAACCAAAGCGAAACCAAAATGCTTGGGACTAATTAGGAGAAGGTCAATCTAAACTTGGATAATCTGTGCACCGTCTAATTAGAAAAAAGCTAATGAAGCTTTAAGGCTTTGGTACTTTTACATGTGTAGAGTAACTCAGATGGAGGCCACCTGGGTCCTTGGGGCACTGGCTTTAATGAATAAATTAAAAGTGTAATTAGCTATTGTAGTTGTACAGGTGTTTTGGCTAAAAGAATGGGAAACTTGAAAAGAAGTGGCTTGACAATCAGGAACATTTGTCAGGCCACGGAACAGAAGGACTCAGCCTTCTGTGTGGGAGAGGCTCTGGGGTTGGTCCCTTGAGCCTCGGGGAGTAGCTGGACACCCCGTTCTTCCACCGCCTCCCTCCATGCCTTCACCTTTGGCCTTGGGGTTGTCTCCTCATGGTCTCAAGGTGGCAGTCTCTGCTAGCACACTGAGACGTGTGAAATCTGGGGACAGTAGAGAGACCACACCGTTTAAACAGGGAGGAAAGGCTTCCCCAGGGACCACTCTGAAAGTTACTGTGTGTCTATGCCTATCTTGTCCCTAGCCAGGGAGAGGCGATTGACCTCTGGTGGTTTACAGGAATCAACCTTTACCTCTCGTGTCTGGAAAGGACACCAGGCGCTCCTGGATTTTTTTTTTTTTTTTTTTTTGAGATGGAGTTTTGCTCTTGTTGCCCAGACTGGAGTACAGTGGTGCAATCTCAGCTTGTTGCATCTGCCTCCCGGGTTCAAGCGATTCTCCTGTCTCAGCCTCCCAAGTAGCTGGGATTGTAGGCATGCGCCATCACGGCCAGCTAATTTTTTGTAATTGGTAGAGATGGGGTTTCACCATGTTAGTCAGGCTGGTCTTGAACTCCTGACCTCAGGTGATCCACCTGCCTCTGCCTCCCAAAGTGCTGGGATGACAGGCTTAAGCCACTGCGCCTGGCTGAATTTTTTTTTTAAGTGAGGAACAAGGTGAGGGTGGCTGTGAGCCAGGCAGCTGTCAGTGTCTGTACAGGATGTTTAATCTGTACCATCTGCCCCTTCTTCATTGTAGAAGGAGAGGTCCTTCCTTTCCTACGCATCTCTCCCCTCCTCCCAGATGCTGGACCCCGTCCCACTCAGAGCCTCTCAGGAACTGCGTGTCATCAGCGGCTTAATATTTCTCTTTCTCTCCTTGGTGTCTTCAGCTTCTCCCATGCCCAAGTCCTTCTGGCTGGCATGTGAGCACGCTGAAAGCACTCTTGTTATGAATAAAAACGACTTTCCCTTGGTCTGAGTCCTCCTGGAGCGCGTCTCTCTCCCCTCTTGCATGGAGCTGAACTGTGGGAGTGGTGCCTCCTCACTTTCTCCATTTTCTCCCCTCTTCTTCTATCTGTAGTGGCACAAAACAGCTTTTCTGCTCCATGCCCCCAAACCCAGCACATTCCTCAGTTCTCGTCACGCGGGACCTTCCCACCCATTGGCACTCCTGGCCACTCTCTTTTAATGTTCTCTTCCTTCGGCAAGAGCATCTTGTCCAAGAAGACTCCTGACTTCCTTTATCTCCGGCCACTCGTTGTCCTCCTTCTCTCAGGCTTCTGATCATCTCGCTGGCCATCAGATGCTGGTGTTCAGCAAGGATGAGGGCTGGGGCGTCTTTCCCTCTCACTCTGGACGTCCTCTCTATGATATAAAATTGTGTATCGCCATGCGTCAGTGTCTGTGACCTCCAGGAACATATGCACCTCTGCCGAATTAACATCCCTCGTGATGTCCTAAGACACTGAAGCTCAGCAGAGGGACAGTGCAACTCACAGTCTCCTTCCCCTGTCCTCAGGCCTTCTTGTCCTGTCTCCATGTGTGAATGACACCCGGATCCACTCAGCAAGACGACAGAGAAAAGAGGTATTCCTGAGACTGACCTCTCCAACCCTTCCGTTTTCAGATCTTGGACTCTGTCACTTTTACCTCCTAAACGTGTCTGGAATCTCTGCACCCCTCTCTGCCTGTGTTACCATCGCTCTGGTCCCCCCTAGCTTCCTCTCCTGGGTAGATCACTGCTGTCACTCCTGCTTTGCATGCACTGACCCCAGCAACTCTGAAGCTCAGCGCTTCTCCCTGCAACACGGCACAGGCTGTTCCATGCGCCAGGCATAGTTTTTCCCTCTGTTTTTGTATGTTTACATGGTTTCATCCTTCAGACTTACCTTAACAGTCAATTACTATTAAACGGTCTCCCGTACTTGTTAAATACTACTGTATTCTCCTTCTGTTCCATGGACCTCTCCTTGCAGCGCCTGTCACAGCTGTTTTGTTTGTGTGGCTGTTTAATTGATATCTGTCTTCCCTCAAAGACTCTCACCTTCTCGAGGGCCATGTTCCTTAGCACTCACAATCACTTGTGTCTTCTGGCACTGTGGGATTCAGTACGGCGGGTCTCCTCTGTATCCTTGCTGAATAAATGGATGAATCAGTGATTGACATCACATAGATTATTCTTTAAAATAACGTTTTTGATTGAATTTATATTGATTATTCTTTAAAATAACATGTTTTTGATTGACATTATATTGATTCTTAAAATAACATGTTCTAGAAAAGCTTATTTTTTATTACATTTTAGGTTTTGGGGTACATGTGAAGAACATGCAAGATTGTTGCATAGGTACACACATGGCAGTGTGATGTGCTGCCTTCCTCCCCCTCACCTATTTCTGGCATTTCTCCCCAGGCTATCCCTCCCCAGCTCCCCCCTCGCTGTCCCTCCCCTATTCCCCCCAATAGACCCCAGTGTGTAGTGCTCCCCTCCTTGTGTCCATGTGTTCTCATTGTTCAATACCCACCTATGAGTGAGAACATGCGGTATTTCATTTTCTGTTCTTGTGTCAGTTTGCTGAGAATGATGTTCTCCAGCTTCATCCATGTCCCTACAAAGGACATGAACTCATCGTTTTTGATGGCTGCATAGTACTCCATGGTGTATATGTGCCACATTTTCCCTGTCCAGTCTATCATTGATGGGCATGTGGGTTGGTTCCAGGTCTTTGCTATTATAAACAATGCTGCAATGAACATTCGTGTGCATGAAAAGCTTATTTTTTACATGGTTTGAGCACTCCCCATAGAGTTTTATTTATTGCCACTGCTTTTCTACATGAGCTATAGGAGGATAGTGCTCATATGGGCTTGGTCTGAATTTTCAGAAGGTTTGAGGTCTGGGCCGATGGGACTGGCCACACTGAAGACATACCTACATGTTTGCCTCGCTGTGGAAGTCTGTCCTTGCACATTCAAGGTCAGCTGGCAGGAGCCGTTGGATCTTTATGGCTCATTACCAACAACAGTTCTTTTGCTCTGTCACGCGGTGAGAGTGCACCTCTCTACCCACTTCGACTCAGGGTGGCCATGCCACCTTCCTTCCCTGGTGACAGGTGAGTGGTCCCAGGCAGGGGCATGAAGAGCTAGCGTGTGATTTCCCACACCGCATCTTCTCTTCCTTTGCAATCAGGAGGCGTCCGGGCCTCCGTCGGTGGGTTTCCTGAGTGACTGTGGGGCCAGGACACCCCCGGCCAGCTGTGGCAGCATGCAGCATGTATACCTGGTTCGCTTGTTACTGCAGCCTCATCAGCCTGTCCTGACAGCTACAGAAATATGAAGGAACTTGGTCCTGGAGAGTCTTTTCTTTGGCCACCAAACCACCTGCTTTTCCCCAGTAGCAGAGAGAGGCTCCAGGACACAGATTGGGACAGATTCTTGTCTTCTGCCAGCGTGCCATGAAAACTAGGAATAACCATGGCGAGCGAGAACCCACTGCTGTGTGAGGGGTGAGGTCAGGCAGGCTGTGGAGGGCACCTGCTGACCGGAGAGCAGAGGGCCCTGGGCAGGGTCCTCACGGTGCCCTGAGAATTACAAAAGCACCTGATGACCAGACCCTCTGGAGCGAACTTACCGCTCCTTATAAGAAAGATGTTTCCCCAGCAGTTCTACCAAGCAGGTTGGCATTTTGCTGGTGAAGCCAAAGGCAAAAATGCAGAGCGGATGCTATTGTGTATTTGGAGAAACTGCAGTGACTTCCCCGGCTCTACCCATAGCAGTGGTCTAGAAGGTTGCACTATTTCACGTGCTCTCTGACCTTTTAAAGGAGTTCAACATAAGTAGTTGATAAAATGTGCTGTATTTTCTCCCCAGAGACCAGCTGAGATAGTTAAAGAAGATGAAGAGATACATGAGAACACCCCCGATTTTGAGGGCAGCAAGGTGAGTTCATTTTATTTTGTTTTAATGGCCTGGATCTAACACATGGAACAGAGCTCACGTGTGGTGGTGAAAGGATCCGGATCACAAGTCGGTTCTAAAGCACCAGCCAGCACAGACTTGGAAGGGAGTGCATTTCCAAGGCAGGCCGCGGCCAAGATCAGGTTTCCCGTGTGCAGCCAATTACATGAGTCATTTTAACCGCATCTATACCTGTCCTAATGACTTTCCACTGTACCTAAAAACTCTTTCCCAGGAAGTTTCAAGATCATACTTTTAGCAGGGAACGTCAGGGAAGGTGAGGGAAGGCAGCAGGTGTGCGTGGCTGTGTGGTGTGGGCATCCGGGGCGCTAGCTTGTGTGGTTCGAGGTGCAGTGTCAGTAGCCGGTCCCGCTGGCCAGCGCGAGGGTGAGGGCTTGCGGTGCACGTGCGCAGATGGCAGCGGGAACCAGCGCGGGACGCTTGGCTTGCTCCTCTTCCTATCTAGGTGTCCTGGAAACATCCTCCACCCAGCGAGCGTGTGACTGTGGTCCTTTATGAGATTCTGCAACTCATCGTCCATGCAAAATATGTGTATTGGGAAAACAGAATTTATTTTAAATACACACTTTTTAGCTAAGAAATAGACTTTGAGGAACTTGTTTTCAGAATTCTGTCTCTGGATCTTTATTTTTGTTTCAAGGTAGCCTCTTGGTTTTTCTTTTCTTTTCTTTTCTTTTTTTTGAGATGGAGTCTCGCTCTGTAGCCCAGGCTGGAGTACAGTGGTGCGATCTCAATCTCGGCTCACCACAACCTCTGCCTCCCCGGTCCCGGTTCAAGTAATTCTCCCACCTCAGCCTTCCTAGTAGCTGGGATTATAGGCACGAGCCACCATGCCCAGCTAATTTCTGTATTTTTTAGTAGAAATGGGCTTTCACATGTTGGCCAGTCTGGTCTTGAACTCCTGACCTCATGATCCAAAATTTGGCCACAGGCAGGAAGCTGTATAAATTGATAATGGCACAGGAGGCTGTGTCATGAGCTCCTGGATTCATGAAGTCTGGGAGGTGCAGTCTCAGTCTATCCTCCAGGGCTGGAAACAGGCAGGGACTCCCTGCCGGGAGTCACTTGTTGGTCTTAAACTTACCCTTCAGCTTCCTGGCTGCCACCTCGAAGAAAGTGGAGGCGTGACCCCAGGGAGCTTGTACAAGCGTGTTGGAGCCACGCAGGTCACCTCACCGTGCTTGACACAACTTGGAAAAGGGTGGTTGTTGGAAGGGATATGGGTCCTCAGGAAGTTGGTTCAGGTTTTAGAAAACACCAAGGCAGCTTCTGATCTAAAACAATGATAACACACTTGTAAGACAGCTCATTCTTCCTTCCTTATATTCCTGGACAGTTTTGGAAAGGTGCCCTGCCTGTATCTGGCTGAGTAGGGAAGACTGTCGGATGAAGAGCAAAGACAGCTTTTCCTTTCTTTGGTGACGGAGGGCCAGGCTGCTTTCGGAGAGCCGGAGTGAGGGCAGACGTTTGTCTCAGAGTGTTAGGCTAAGAGGGGCAACAGGCTGCGTGCTTACCTTGCTCACCCTCGAGGACAGGGTGCTATTATGCGAATGGCATATTTCAGTAGTGATATAACCCAGGCCTTCTGACTGCAGTGAGTTTACGCTCTCTGCTGAGACCCTGTGCACACTGGCGGCGGAATTTATCGTCTATGCCTAACTGACTTGTTATGGAAATCTACTCAGGATGCATATCAGTGACTTGATAACAGCCAGTGGCAGATTTAATTTCTTAGAGTGGATCAAAATGTCATTCTGGCAAATCACTGGAATCCAGTGGCAAACCCAAGCACCTAGTCCTTAGGGATCTGGGCTAAGGACCTAAGCTCCTGGGGAAAACGTGATGGGGACAGCTATGCTGCGGTTCTCTTGCCTGAGCATTAATAACAGGAGATGCGACAGGAAGGGCGAGGAGCAAACGGAGGCATCCCGAGCGCGACGGACACCAGGGACTGCGCAGACGTTCCCACGTGCCCAGCCTGTCTCTACCGCACACTCACTCTTTAAGGAAGGCAGAGTAAACAAGATTAAAAACAATGAGATGGGGAGTTTAGGTAGCATGTTGGCGTCACGCAGAAGGTGATGGGTCTTGGAACTGAACCCCGTTTTGAGCGATTCCAAAGGCTGTGTTTTCCTCTTCCCCTGAACCATGCTGGTTGTATATCACTTCCCAGAAGAGTATTTTCTGTCTCAGGCTTCACACTGTGTCCCTCATAGATACCATCCTTCACTGGTGTTGTGTACTGCTCCAAGGGGGGCAAGATGGCTCGAGAGTTTTAGTTCTAACAGCTCCATCTTTGCTTCTAGCATGACTGAAACAAAACTTTGTTGCTGTGAAGCAACCCATGGGGTTGAAGGTAATTGGCTTGAAAATTTGGCCCACGTTTTTGAGGGCTCAAGAAGAGCAAGCACTTTACATGCAGTAAGAATTAAAAAGAAGCAGGACTCAATTAGCCCTTGCTGGCCAGGAGCCACAGTGAGCTACCCCTTCTCGCAGTGACCTGTAGTTCACTTGGCATTTCATTTGTACATTGACAAATTGATTACATGACATTTATTTGATATTTGTTATATTAAAAATTTTAGGCTTATGAATGCCGGCTTGACCTCCTCAAAGACAGCGATTGTGCCCTATGATCTCATGTGTCATTCAGTGTCTTATATATTGTAGGTGTTTAATAAATATCTGCGGATTTGCTTTCAGTTGCCTATGATGAAGTTACTTAAATATGTAATCCTGGAGTAAAATGCTAATTACCTGGCAAAGTTGTAAGAAGACACATTATAAACATTATTTATAAATATATATTGTTCAGGCACAGTGGTTCATGCCTGGAATCCTAGCAATCTGGGGAGCCAACACAATGAGACCCTGTTTCTACAAAAAGTTGTGAAATTAAAAAAGCAGCCAGGCGCAGTGCTGTGCACCTGTAGTTCCAGCTCCTCGGGAGGCTGAGGTGAGAGGATTGCTTGAGCCCAGGAGGTCGAGGCTGCAGTGAGCTACAATGGTGCCATGGGTGGAGAAAAAACAGCAACTACTATATATAGAAAATATTTCTGATGTTTGATCACAAAGGTGTTATTTTTGTGGTAAAAGTACACATGGTTTTTGTGGTGACATATAAAGACAATTTGCCATTCAGCCATTTTCAGCGCACAGTTGAGTGGCATTAATCACAGTCTCTGTGTTACACGGTCACAGCCACCGTCTGCTTCCAACACCTTTTCATCTCCCCGCACCGAAACTCTGTGCCAACCCCCGTTCTATGCTAGCTCCCCATTCCTTGCTTTGCCTAGCCCCAACTGTGTTGTCATTTGAAGCACGTAAAAACAATCCCAGCTTGAAGGAGCTTTTCAGATGCAAGTGTTATGATGGCATCCTCCTCACTCCGCAACCAGGGTGAATTTATTTTATAACTGTGTGTGTCAATAGCATAGGAGTGGGAGCAATTGAAATCAAAAGCAAAAATAGAACTGTGCTTTTGGATGACACTTCGTCATCCTCAGAATATGTTAAACATGTTAATTATATGGTCACGACAATTCTGACTATATTAGGCACTGTAATAATATTTTTCATCCTTAAAAATGGAATGTTAACATTAACTAATTTGCAAAGCTCTCCTGTGATATAATAAAGATGAAGCGTGTACATTTTCCTTTTACCTGTTTCAAACTGTGTCCATTGCACACAGTTTTAATTACGTTGGGTGCTTGAGAACTGTCTGAATCAGGGTAGACTGGAATTTTCTCCAGATCTCGGTGCTTGATTTGTTTGGACTCATTGATTTTAAAACGTCTTATGTGCAAACAGCAGTTTTTAATTTATGCTACCTGCGAAGTTTGTAAAGCAATGTGTGAAGGTTTTGAAAAGGTTCGATCCCTTTCCAAAGCAAGATGGAAAGTATGAATGGAAATACTGAAAAATGTATCCACAGGCCTCATATGTAGGGCTCTCCAAGGAGGGTATGAGTTTCCTCTCCTTGGAAGTCCCTCCATGTGGTCGGTAGCCAGCTCTGCAGGGATGCTTTAGAGGAGGGTTATGCATAGGAGCGGTCAGGTATTGTGTGACTCAGGTTTTTTTCTGATTCTCAATTGTCAACCTTTTAATAGTATTTAGGTGTTTCCCACTTTTGAAAAGGCCATATAAAAATTTCATGGGCAATTTTGTGTATTCAATAAAGAGACTGAGAGAGTGGAAGAGGGAGAGGGAGAGGGAGGTTGGCTGTGATTTGGGGGTGGTGATTTTCTCCTCCTCCAAGAGTATGCTGTGCACATTGCAGCCTCTCCGGTGCTGTGCCCGATGCCTGCTGTGCCCCTGCCTTTCCAGCTCTCACCTGCTGCTAGCGCTCTCTGCAGATGCCAGCCTCTTCCTTAAGGCTATCTGGATCCTTCTGCCCCTGGGAGCATCTTTTCCTCCACTCACTCCTCACAGGATTTTCTTTATCCTTCCTGTGCCGTTTGGCTCCACTTAGAGCTGTTTGTGTACGTCTACTGTCTCTTCTGAGTGATTTACAGGTTTTGAAGGAAGAGTCTTGACCTAATTCATTTTGGTGTCATCTTTAGCACCTTTCCTATCACCTTGCACACAGGAGTAACTGACCTTGAGTTTGCTAAGACCCCGGAGTAGCTGATCTTGAGTTTGCTAAGACCCTGGAGTAACTGATTTTGAGTTTAAGACCCTGGAGTAACTGATCTTGAGTTTGGTAAGACCCTGGAGTAACTGATCTTGAGTTTGGTAAGACCCTGGAGTAACTGATCTTGAGTTTAAGACCCTGGAGTAACTGATCTTGAGTTTGGTAAGACCCTGGAGTAGCTGATCTTGAGTTTAAGACCCTGGAGTAACTGATCTTGAGTTTGCTAAGACCCTGGAGTAACTAACCTTGAGTTTGCTAAGACCCTGGAGTAACTGATCTTGAGTTTGGTAAGACCCTGGAGTAACTGATCTTGAGTTTGCTAAGACCCTGGAGTAACTGATCTTGAGTTTGCTAAGACCCTGGAGTAACTGATCTTGAGTTTAAGACCATGGAGTAACTGATCTTGAGTTTAAGACCCTGGAGTAACTGATCTTGAGTTTACTAAGACCCTGGAGTAGCTGATCTTGAGTTTGGTAAGACCCTGGGAGATATTAGGTGGCCTATGTGCAGCATTGGCGGCAGAGGGGGCATTGCACAGCCTCTGGTGTGAGGCTGGAGTGTGGCCAACCTGGAGTTGAGCGTGGCCCCAGTAGAGGGGACTAAAGATGAAGGTAGATATTCAGTGAGTCTCAACAAGCTATGTCAGAAGACGTGATTACCCCCAAAGCCTTAGTGTTTATCTACATGAAAATGTAACTTTTTTTTTTTTCAGAAAATGCCATAAAGCCAAAAGCTAAACAAAATAAGGAAGAAAATATTTGCAACACAAATCAGATTTTCTTGATTTATGCAAGAGTCATAAATCATTAACACAAAGCCCGTTAAAAAAGAAAGACAAATAAGACACACAGGAAATTCACAGAGAATAATACAAATTTCCAAGACACAAGGACATATGTCCATGTCATTCCTAACCAAAAAAATGCAAATAATAAAAATGAGTGTTTTGTCATTACATCAGGTTGGCGATGTCCAGTGCTTAATAAATCCAGATTAAGGATTTGTTTTACACTACCCGTCTTGCAGATAATACAACACTATATTTTTATGTTAATATAGATGCAGAAAAGCAGCAATGCTTCTTACTAGGGTTCTGTATAAATCAATGCAGCCTTTTGGAAAATATTATTAACATATAATACAATAACGTTTGTTATATTAATATAACAAATATTAATATATTAGAATATATTAATTAATGACTATTAATAATAGAAACAAATGCATTGTTCATCTACAGGCTTGATTAACTTAGGCTTCACCAATAGAATGGCATACAGGACATCTGTGAAAATAGATAGATAAACTCATATAACTGAAGGATGGGAGCTCCAAGATGTTATATTAAGTGAAAAAAAAATCAAGGTGCATCGGAGAATACAGGTGTAACATGCTGCCTTTTGCATAAGAATGAGCAAAGAGATGTACATAAAAACAAAGGGTTTAGAATGGGAAACCAAGTGGAAGGAAGCAGGAGGAACAGAGCAGTGAGTTGGTGAGGATGAGGCTTGAGGCTTTACGCCAAAGTCCTGAGTGATTTTGTTGATGAGAAAGAATTTGACCTCCCCAAGAAGCTGAGTAGAGGCAGGGAGATTAAGGTTTTATTTTACGCCATCTTTCTTTCAGATTGTTGATTCCTATATCTATTTTTTTAATACTAGGAAAACGAAGATGCAAGGCTTTGTGAAGACGTTGAAAGAAAGGTTTGCATCAACGATAGCTGTGGTTTTGTTCGAAGACAGAGCTAACGAGAGAACGCATGGATCCCCAGCTCTTGGCAGGTGCTTTTTAGGAGCATAACCTTTACGCCTCTGTCATACACCGTAGCTCTGCTTTCCAGAGTTAGAAAACAAACTCAGAGGAAAAAGAACCATAATGAGGCCTTTCACAGAGGTGGACAGTTCCTCGGGAAAGGCAAATAAGAACCAGGAATGAAAAGTGCTTCAGGGCCACGTGTGGCTGGCGTCCGAAGGTGCACCCGTCATGACTCTGGGAAGATGCATATGAATTATCTGCCAGCTGCACCTGTGGTCACTCACTTAGGCCTTCCAGGCAGTCATAAAAGCTGCACCATCAGACGCCAGCCATGAAGGTAAAGGTGGATGTGCTTGCCCGGTGAGGCTGTAGGAGTGGGGGGCTCACAGCCCTGGGGAAGTGGATCCGTAGCTGCGCCGGGGACCCCACCTGGCAGCAGAAGGTGCTCCCCCACCGAAAGCGTTGCTCTCCCCGCCGTCATCAATAGCTCAGTCCTCAGCGGGACTGAGTTCTTATCCTAGGTTGGTGGACGACTAAGTGATGATAGTGATTTTTGGCTGAGTGTGCCAAGTTTCATTTATTTAGTCCTTAGTTTTCTTAGATTCCTCAGCACTCCTCAAAGGACGTGAGCCCTGAGTGCCGACTTGGGAGGTGAACCTAACCGACACCAGTGCGTGGACACTCTCCGCCTGGCCTTGGCTGCTCCAGCACCTGCCGGGTGTGTGGCTTTGGGAAGACTCCTCAAAACCTTATTGCCTCAGTTTCCTCCTCTGTTCAAACTTTGTCCGATTGTTTATTTATAACAAAATCAACCTTCAGGAGAGAATATGCATAAAGTCTGCTCAGTGTTACCACCTTTTTTCTTATTATTAGAAATAGCCGATTTGCAAAAGAATCCAGATGGTATCATGGGGGAGGGGAACAGGTATGAGCTGTGTCCTGCCTGTGCATGGAGCCCCTCATGTGGGTGTGTCCTGCCGTGGACAGAGCCTCTGGTGTAGGTGTGTCCCACCCATGGATGGAACCTCTCGTGGGGGTGTGTCCTGCAGTGGACAGAGCCTCTGGTCTAGGTGTATCCCGCCTGTGGACAGAGCCTCTTATGTGGGTGTGTCCTGCTGTGGACAGAGCCTCTCATGTGGGTGTGTCCCATCCATGGATGGAGTCTCTCGTGGGGTTGTGTCCTGCTGTGGACAGAGCCTCTGGTGTAGATGTGTCCCACCCATGGATGGAGCCTCTCATAGGGGTGTGTCCTGCCATGGACAGAGCCTCTTATGTGGGTGTGTCCTGCCGTGGACAGAGCCTCTTATGAGGGTGTGTCCTGCCGTGGACAGAGCCTCTTATGTGGGTGTGTCCTGCCGTGGACAGAGCCTCTTATGAGGGTGTGTCCTGCCGTGGACAGAGCCTCTTATGAGGGTGTGTCCTGCCATGGACAGAGCCTCTTATGTGGGTGTGTCCTGCCGTGGACAGAGCCTCTTATGAGGGTGTGTCCTGCCATGGACAGAGCCTCTTATGAGGGTGTGTCCTGCCGTGGACAGAGCCTCTTATGTGGGTGTGTCCTGCCGTGGACAGAGCCTCTTATAAGGGTGTGTCCTGCCATGGACAGAGCCTCTTATGTGGGTGTGTCCTGCCGTGGACAGAGCCTCTCATGTGGGTGTGTCCCATCCATGGATGTAGTCTCTCGTGGGGTTGTGTCCTGCAGTGGACAGAGCCTCTGGTGTGGGTGTGTCCCACCCATGGATGGAGCCTCTCATAGGGGTGTGTCCTGCAGTGGACAGAGCCTCTGGTGTGGGTGTGTCCCGCCCATGGACAAGCCTCTCATGTGGGTGTATCCCGCCCATGGACAGAGCCTCCTATGTGGGTGTGTCCTGCTGTGGACAGAGCCTCTTATGTGGGTGTGTCCTGCCATGGACAGAGCCTCTGGTGTGGGTGTGTCCTGCCCTTGGACGGAGCCTCTTATGTGAGTGTATCCTGCCCGTGGACAGAGCCTCTCATGTGGATGTGTCCTGCCCATGGACAGAGCCTCTCATGTGGGTGTGTCCCACCTGTGGACTGAACCTCTGGTGGGGGTGTGTCCTGCCCCTGCAGGAGCCCCTGGTATAGATGTGTAGGCAGCTTTGTGGCCAGAAGAGCACTAAATTCCTGTTTCAGCTTTGCCACCAACTGGCTAGATGCCCTTTGTTAAGTAACTTGATTAATTCAATCAACAATCATTTTACATGTTTATAGATTTACTTACTCTTCAAGAATCAGTGAGACAATGGATTGGAAAGTTCCTGAAAAGTATAACATATCTAGGTTTAAAATGGTGTTTATATTATTTGTACTTAAGCTAGATAACGGAAGTTTTTGTTCCTCAGCTTGAAGTTAGACATTTGGTGGTCCCCACTCTTAACTCCCTGGTTAAGATCATGTAATCCATTTTGTGATGCAGCTCCCGTCCTCTGCAGCTGACCTAACGCACGTGGCTGGAGAAACAATAATCTGTGTTCAGCGTGATCCTCCCGTACGCATAAATAATATCTGGTTTTCATGTCAAGTAATTCTTCGGAACATTTATCACTTGCTTGGCATACATGTTACTCTTTTAAAGGGACTATTTTACCAAATGCAATGGAATGAAATGAATGCAAATTTGGCCCCATGCAAACTATGAGCAAATAGTTTCATTTTTCTGAGCCTTGGTTTCCTGAGCTGTGAAACGGAAGTAGTTTCTAACTTGTGAAATGAGTGTACAGATTAGAAATATTTGGAAGTGCCTTACTCAGTGGTCGGGGAATAAATGCCATCTACTGTTGTTACTGTCTTTCTCTGGTTGAATCATGCCTCCAATGGAGGTCTAACGTCTTTGAAAGAAGGAATGAGATTTTACTCAGCACCGGGCATGCACAATGCCTTACTCACAGTCAACATTGATTATGTTTTTAAATTAACTTTTCTCTGTGATACCTCACACTAGTTTTAAAATTAAGAGTACTTCATTAAATTTTAAAGGACTTATGTTGATTGTAGACTTATTAGAAAATGCAGATAAGAAAATAATGAGAAAGTAAAACCCTGAATTCCTCTGCTCAGAGTCTATTCTCACTTTTGTGCATGTTTTTCAGGACTGTTTTCCACTTGAAGTTTACTTTTTGTGTAGAAAGAGGGTTGGAACTTGTCAAATAATGGAAAATTATAAGAAATACTATGAATCAGTATTGAGAATATTTTCAACATGTTAGGTTTTTTCCTCAGTATACTTCAGAATGTCGATTTTATTTATTCGAAATAGATGTAAACGTTTTTGAGTAGAGCTGCCACTCACTTTAAAAAGAGCAAGAACCAAACAGCAGGCATCGCGTCCTTATGAGGAGCTTTTCCAGGGCTATGGTGCCAGCGCTGCTCCTGGATGTCATCTGCTAAACATTTGATCTCAAATCAGAATTTAAACATTCCATGCTTACATTTAAAAAGTTTTAAAGAATTTAAAAAGTTTTATCTTTTCTTCTGCAACAAATATTTGATTTGATTTCTCATTGGCTATATTTTTGTGATGAGAGTGAAAAATTGAGAGACTTAAGAGGAAGGAAAGTGAACAGATGGAATAATTTATCCATTGATAGATTTTAAAATGTAAACTACAATTTTAAGTCATGAATCTAGATGTTGAACAATTCTACCTCCATCATATGTTGGACAGATATTAGACTTTCTGAACTGTCGCACCAACAAAGAGCATTCAGAGTCCACCGGCTGTGCAGTTTGTAGTTTCCTTTTGTGTTTTTGCATCATAGAATATAAAATGAGCATATCAATCCTTCTAGCATCCAGCAGCACGACAGGATGCCGTAGTGACAAGTTCCAGGTGCAACGTGTATAAGAAGATAATTGTGGCATTTTTTCCCCAAAGGCTTCAAAAATCAAGTATAATTTTGATCAACAATAAATGTGCTATTAGTAAAAAAAAAAACTTAACATAAGGTTTTTCGTATTTATAGTCATCAGTTTGTGAAATGGCCTATCACCTCTTAAAGGTGTACTTTGTCAGTTTTATAACAATGTTATGTATAATCATATCAAAGCAAAGTCCTTTTAAATGAATGTTGGAGGCAACATTCAAAACCTGTTAACACCCTTTGTTAAATGTCCTCCTTCCCTCCTTTCTTCCCTCCCTCCCTTCCTTCCTTCACCCTTCCCCCTTCCTTCTCTTCCCTCCTTCCCTTCCCTCCCCCCTCTCCTCCTCCTCCTCCTCCTCCTCCTCCTTCTTCTTTCTCTCTCTCTCTCTCTCTCTCTCTCTCTCTCTCTCTCTCTCTCTCTCTCTCTCTTTCTTAGACAGAATCTTGCTCTGTCATCTGCAAGCTCTGCCTCCCAGGTTCAAATGATTCTCAATTCTTGTGCTTCAGCTACCTGGGTAGCTAGGATTATAAGCATGGCGTGTGCACTACCATGTTCAGCTAACTTTTTTCAAAATGTTTTTAGTAGGGAAGGGTTTCACCATGTGGGCCAGGCTCCTCTCAAATCTCTGACCTCAAGTGGTCCATCCACCTCGGCCTCTGAAAGTGCTGGGATTATAGATGTGAGCCACTCTGCCTGGCCAAATGTTTTCAGTGTTATAGAAAAATAGTGGGTTTTGTCTGCCTTTGTAACATTTATATTTTATCCCTTTGGAGTAACAAGAGTGAAAAACTGCCAAGCACAACACAAAACTCCACGTGGAATCTGGAGGCCCTTTTCCTGCCCTGATTTCCAGACTTCTTTGGAACTGGGAGCTGGCCCCTGTGCTTCTCTTGAAGAAATGCCTTATGGTAAATAGTACCAATTCTCATCATTGCTCAACTTTACATTTGTAGTATATTTATTTATATTTCTGACCTGATCTTTCACTCTTTTTCTAATGCTATGCCTTTAATTGTTCTGAGTCACCTCTCTAAAGAAATAATTACCCATTCTGGTCATCTCTTAACGCTCTCATCCTTCAGGAAGCATGCTATTATAATGATGTCATTTTCAAATACTTTGCCTTTTTCCAATTATCCCCAAGTTCTTT